CTGTCTTCATAGCTCATGCCTATCCTGAATTACACAGGGAAGAGTGAAGTGGTTTAAAATGAGGACTGTTTCTTCTAATGTTCTTTGGGTGTGTGAGAAAACCATCAGAAATTAAAAAAAAATTAAATATATGTTGAAAAACTGCTGCAGTCTTGGGCTAAGTGGTGTAGGGAATGCAAACAAATAGAAGATTCCTTTTTTCAATATACTGTTTACCCAGTAAGGTTGAAAAGATATGCAGAAAAAGGGGCAACAAAGAGGAGGTCACATGTCCATACTTAAGTGTCAAAGCTGAGGCGTGTGCCAGGGTCCTGATTTCATAGGGCAGGGACTCTCTGTAGGCCTGGGGTGCTCACAGAAGGCAGCTCAAAACTGTCAAACATATAGTAGCCTCCCCTTAACCGGGGGTTCACTTCCCATGGTTTCAGTGAGCCAAGGCCAACCACTGTCCGCAAACAGATGACCCTCCTTAGGTCACCAGTAGCCTGATGCTGTGTCACATGCCTATGCCATCCCCTTCACTTCATCTCATCATGTGGGCATTTAATTATCTCACGTCATCGCAAGAAGCGTGAGTACAATATATAAGATACTTTGAGACCATATTCACACATTTTTTATACAGTATATTGTATAATTGTTCTATTTTATTTTTAGCTAGTGTTGTTCATCTCTTATGGTGCCTAAATCATCAATTAACTTCCATCCGAGGTATGTATGTATAGGAAAAAACAGTGCATATGGGGTTTGGTAGCATCTGTGGTTTCAGGCATCCACTGGGAGTCTTGGCATGTATGTCCCTGGCAGATAAGGGGGCTACCGTACTCTGACGTCTGAAGAAAGGAGTTAGACTAAGAGAAGAGAGGCTAAGAGGAAGGAGGTCGCGGTTGCAGTGTTTGGTGGGTGGGTAGGTGAGGTAAGCACAGAATGTCCGTGTTGTATCAGGGAGGAAAAGGTCTGTTAGCTACGGGGATAGAACCTTGTGAAAGTTCTAGAATATCAGCTAAGGTATTTGAATTTTGCACAGTCTGAAGATTTTAAGGAGGAGTACATGATTAAGGTTGTGCTTGAGAAGGCTACAATGTGCTTAAGATGTGTGTCTGAATTATAGTTGTGAAGCATGGGGAGAGAATAATGTGAAGACCAGACAAAAATATAGCCAATAGCTAATTATATTGATGGTATCAATAAAAAAATAAAGTTACTCTTTAGGCTCAGTTGGTGGATCATGCGATTTTTTTCATCTCAAGGTTGTGAATTTGAACCCTACATTGGGTATAGAGATTACTTAAAAATAAAATATCTTTAGAAGTTACCATTTTAGGTTATAATGTTAAGAGAGATTTTGGGGAGTAAAATAGATGACAATATCAGCAATTATTTATCAGCAAGTTTTACTTACTGGTAAGGCAAAAATTTTAATGAATTTAGGAATTAATAAAGTTTATCCCAAAATTCCTTGTGAGTATTCTAAGACTAAAAATATGGTCTTTTTTAAAAAAAATCATATCCAGTAGGGATTCTAAAGGAACTTATTTTTCAAAGATGTGTGTGTGTGTGTGTGTGTGTGTGTGCACACGCACATGTGCTTGACCAAAATTATTTAGTGATGCGCCATTGGGTATGATCCCGCAATTGCTATACTATGGCATTTAATATATCTGCAGGCTTTTGGTAGATGACAGAAAAATGGGTAAGACCCACATTTTAAAATAGATTATAAAAGCCCGTGTGTTTACCTTAATTATAGAACCTATAAGGAGATAAAAGAACTTCAGCATTATAAATGGAGTTCTTTTGGAAGCAATGAATCAATCAAGATGGTTGTTCTGTCTCTGAAAGTCAAGGTCTCTTCAGATCTAGGTTTGTAAAATTAGGTTTGTAAAAACTCCAGATGGGTAGTTTAGTTCCTGCTTTCTCTTTGTGAGTCTTTTTTGTTCCAGTCAATGTGGGGATTACGTGGAGATAAAGACAAGGTCCTTCTCCCTGAAAAGTTTGCCATCTAGCAGGGATATACAACACATATTATAATCACTAAATGGAATTATTCTTACATGGTATGCATATGCTTAACAGGATGGTCAAATAAAGCAATTCACTTACTAGCTAGCTCTCTTTATTCCTATCTGTTGAGAAGTGAAGAAGTCTTCTTGATTTTCCTGAAGCTTCTTCCCAGCTGTCTTCTTCCTTGGTAACATGCTGCTCTGGATAGTTGTACAGTCACAGTACTGAATGAGTCTGGTGTAAGAAGGTAGGTGGCTGACCTTCAGTTCATATCCTACTAGCTCTAAGCTAAGCTTGGAGTCCTTCTTTGGACACTTCGTGAATTTGTTGAGCAGCCAACATAGAGCCCCCAAGAACCCATCTGCAACCACTGTTGCATTGGCTGAGAGAGCAAAACAGCAGCCAATGGCCACCATATGCAGAGCTAAGCTTTTTGAAATGACACTGTGTTTCCTTATCCAGAACTCAAGGTACTGGGCACTCAGAACATTCATTCATTCATGAATTTATCAAATACTGTTGAGTATGTCCACGTGCCAGGTACCAAGGACGGCTAGTAGCTAAGGCATAATAACATCCTAAGGGAGGTTTTAATAGATTGAGGAGGCAGACAGATGCTATGTTGTGACATATATCGTTTTTGTCTATCCAGTATCCCTCCCTTCCTTTTATCCTGGCAACACTCTTCTCCTTCCCATGGGGGAAGTTCTCTTTTCCAGTTCCAAGGGTTGTGTGGGGAGCACCAATCAGAGCTGTTCTTCTCCACCCTATGACACCATAGGAAGCTGGGAGGCAGGTGATATGTGCCTGTGGCCATAGTGATCATCCGGGGAATAAACATGTAAACCCAAGCCAGGCCAACGGGAGTAATTCCCTGGGGTTTAACATGTGGCTGCCAGGAGAAAGCAGCTCTGCTTCCTCTGAGGTCATTGGGATGATGTAAACCCAATAGCCTCCACAGTCAGGCTCTCCCTCACTCCACTCACTCCCCCGCCCCCAACCTTCTGTTGCATAGAGGATGAGGCCCACGCAGGGTGAAGCAGAACAAGTAGATAGAGAAAAAGAGAAAGAGCATAAGGAGAGGCCCAAAGAGCATGTAAACTGATCATATACTTTGAGTCTAGCTCTACCCAGCTATTGCAGTTATCCAGGATGATAAATTCCCTTTTCCCCTGCCTAGTTTGAGTTGGCTTTCCATTACATATACCCAGAGTCCTAAGTCCCACGCAACATGACAACCTGACTGGAGTTAACACAGCTGTTGGGTGAGCCAGCCCTCATCTGGTCTTGCAGGATGAGGGATGACCTTCTAGAAGCAGAGACATCTGAGGTGAGGCCATGTACTTTTCCAGGAAAAATGGAGCTGGAGGAAGGGACAGCATGGGTGGTTGGGAGTTCCAGGCGGAAGGAATATCTCATATAAGTACCTGGAAATAAGGGGAAAAATGGCTCATCTGGGGAATTACAAGGACTCTGCTATGCCTGGGAGAGAGTGTACAGACAGCAGAAATGGCTAAATGGTACTGGAACCATCACCATGGAAACACTGACCTCCTAGGTCCTCCTGGAGCAGAGGTAGAAGAGAAAGATGGTCTCTGCTGTCAAGGAGTCTAATCCTTTCACCAGCGATGTTGGACGCAAATACCCACAAAATTAAACCAAAATGTATGGCCCTGGTAAGATGTTCCAAATCAGTGACTGTAAGGCAGACAGGAAGTGTATGAGATTCTGAGAAATGTCACTGGGGATTTCAGACAGCAGGAAGCACAGAACTTGGCCTTGAAGAAAAGGCAGGGTGTGAGTGGATGGACAGAAGGCCTGCGCAGGGGACCCATGAGGAGACAACTGAGTGGTTCAGCGGGCTGAGTTTGGGAATAGTGGAAGACCCGTTGGTGAAGGGCTTGAATGTTTATTGACTTTAGATTTTATTCTGAAAGTCTATTTGTGGGAGCCGCAAATAGTTGTTGGGTGTAGGGAGGGGTGAGGCAGTAAACAAGCCATGTGGATGACTAACTTGGACAGAGCCTAGCTGCAGCGAGAAGGCCAGAGAGTTCTTGATCAAGGCCTGGGCTAGGGCAGTGGCAAGGACAAGAAGGGATGGAAGGGGGACCCTTTATGAAGACATAGCGGGCGGGCTCCAACTCCTTGATGTGGAGAAGGAAGAGAAGGGTGAGCAGGACTGGCCGCCTGTCAGACAGAAGGAAATTGCTCTCCCAGCATGAGTGGGCTCTCCTGTACCAGCCCTTGCACCCCGAGGGTTCAGCCATTTGCTCTCCAGGGACGTGTGAGTCTAGGCCACAGTGGCTGCAGCAGCACCGTGGATGGAGGGGGACAACGGTGGGTGACAGAAGTGATTATGCAGTGATGCATAACAATGGAATCCTTCTAAGTTAAACCTCCTGGGTCAGTATGAAGAACTGGTTTGACTAAATTCAGTGAAGAGAACACCTGAGTTTAGGAAGACAACCTTTGTTCTGGTGGGTCATCAGACGCCGAGGACGTTGCTTCACCACTTCTACCTTCTTTTTTCAGGGGAAAAAGCAAAAAAGAGCTTTATTGCCACACACGCAAATCAGAACAGTCAACTGGTTGAGTGGCGGGTGAATAAGGCCAGTTTACTTTGGCTCCCCCATCCAGGTCAGTGAGATCTCCATACTCGTCCCATAGGGGTGTTTAGCTCAAAAGAGTGTGTCCCGTGTCTATACCATGCTGGGGATACTGTGATGGGTAGAGCCAGAGTGTGGAAACCAGGGGGTACGAGCATGAGCTCGCAGTGGGGGGGCGGAAATCAAATCCCAGCTCTGCCATTTGCTCGTTGTGAGACTTTAATCTCATAGACCTCAGTTTTCCTACCTATAAAATGAGGATAATAGTACTTCGGGCACTTGTAAGGATGAAAAGAGATAGATGTGAAGGACTTGGCACAGGGATTGGTATATAGTAAGTGTTCAATAAATGATGCTGCTTATTACACAACAAGATTGGTGGAAGAAGCTGAGGAAGAACAGAAGGAAGACAATTGGCCCACTTTGGGGAATTCAAGGAAGGCTGCTTGGAGGAGAGAAAGCTTGAGCTGAATGTTGGCAGTGGAAAAGGAGTGAGGAGGACAGGGGGAGCGCAGGATTCCAGGTAGAGGGGCCAGCACATGTGGGTAACACATGCATGACCAGCTCAGGGCCAGTTCACTACAAGGCTGGGAGGGCAACTCCAATCATGCTTCTTGCTGACAGTGAGTCCGCCTTTGACCCAGGATTCTGGAACCCACTGAGCGCAGCCTGCTGTGTGTTAGAAGATCGCTTGTACTTGGTAAAGGAAGCAGCTCTGTGCGAGATCTCATTCTTCCCCAAACCACACACTAGCCTGTTCTGTCTTTCTTACTCATTCTCATCAAACACGGTACTGACTCCTGAGGGCAGGAGGAAACCCGCGAGAACCGTCCTAAGGAATGTCCCCCAGCTGCCTGACGTGGTTTTAGAAACCGGAAATAGGGCAATTAGTAAAATGTCCTGGTGCTTGGAGGGCAAGGCTTTCTCGAGGCCCTGAAAGCATTTCCCCTCTTTCATGTATTGCTACTGATGCCTGGTAGGTTTCTTTGGGACTGCATTGTTATGCCGAGTTCCAGATGGGGCAATTAAATAGGGACAGTCGGACTGTTATTTTAGTTGCCTTTGGAAATAGAATTTACAGTGCTCACTTGTCCTTTTCAATTTTCCCCCAGTGGAGCTGTTCCCCCTTCACCTTGGAGGAGACGGAGCCTTGGTGGTGGAGGGAACCGCTCGCTGGGCCGGCTTCTGCAGGGGCCATGGCGTCCCTCCGGATGAAAGGCTCAGCGGAACTTGAAGTCATTATCGTGATCAAGGACGCAGGGAACCGTTTCGGCGTGTAAATGCAGATGCTCTCTTGGTTTCTGTGATAGATGTGTTCCCAGTGCCAATGCAGCAGTGTGTTGAATTCTTTTTAAAATCTGAAAGACCTGCAGGCTCTTCTCTCCTTTTCTTAAATCCATTTCCCTGTTGAGATGAAAAATGTAATACTTTTCAGCTTACTTTAGACTTTCTTCAAAAGTATTTCTGGAAAAGGATCCTTCATGTGGAGCATATGAAAACTGTCAGAGGATAGGAGAGAGCAAGGTTTTGAAAACACACTAATGGACAGCCATTATGCCGTAGGGAGTTCCCCCGGAGAGCAGAAAAATACAGGCTGGGGAAATCGGGGGAAACAGAGCACAGAGGCTGTGGATTAAGAGACGAAGAGAGTCCAGAGATACTAAACAACAACAACAACAACAACAACAACAAAAAACAAACCACACACACACAAACACTGGATACATAATGAGATGGGAAAAGAATACTGGCTAAGATGAATAAGACTGCCGAGGTTGGCCTGAGGAGAGTGCTGGAAAATATAAGTTTTGGAGTTTGACAGACAGAGTTCCAATGTTGTCTTTTCCACTCTCTAGCTGTGGCGCTGGGCAAGTTAATTTTTATATGACTCCGCTTTCTCACCTATAAAATGGCCCTAAAAATGGCTTCCACGAGGATTGTTGTGTAGATTGAATGAGAGAATGGATGTAGAATGTCTGCCTTATTCTCTGGTTATACAGTGTTTTATAAATGCTGTCTTTTATTATTATTAATTATTATTATTATTACCACTCTTCCTGTGATTATCCCCAACAGCTAGGGCACAATGAGCCTATAGACTGTTTTGAGGCGGTGGCCAGCCCTAGTCTCCACTTGAGTGTCCGTGAGTCCGCATTTTGTCAGACGTGCTAACACCCTTCTCTCTCCATGGCAGCGGATCTGTACATTGAATCCCGTCGCTGAGCCTTCCTTGCGCACATCGCAGGTTCCTCTGCGAAGCCTTTGCCGTGGCATCGAGCCGCTCGTGGAGTGCTCTTCTGTGCAAGGGGCTATGTGCCGTTCGCAACACGGGCTCCACGAAGGAGGTCCCGTGATTCATTTTCATCTCTTCGCCCGTCGCCTTGCCCCTATGCCAGGGCTGGGAAGCAACGAGCCATGAGTAGATCTGAGTCACAGGAGAGAATACGAAGGAAAATGAGCAGCTTAAAAATACTCCATAGGAAAGAAATGGTAAGCATCATGGTTTCTTTTGAACTTTCCCAATTCAGCCTCTAGGAGAGGTGTCGTAAACCTCTGCGGGAGTGACTAAGAGCTGGGACAGAGGCGAGTTTGTTACAGACATGCCCGTAACTCCAGGAGCAAATCTCTTTTTTCCCCTCCTAAATAACTCCAGAACATTACATGGCATTAACAAGTTTCCCAGGACAGGAACTTCTAGTTTATTACTTGCACACATTGTCATCAGAAATTAATTTTGTCCCTGAAAGACAAATTGGCTGGTAGCTTATGAAGTTAAATGGAAAGAACAAGTGCGCATCTGTTTCTTCTGCATTTTGTCTCCTTGGTGTCTTACATATAAATGAATCAGAGTGTTCAAACTTAAATTAAGATCTTTGGCTAGATAAACAGTTAAAACTGGTTCCCATAGCTACCTCTCACACATAGCTGTGATTGCATTATAATCCCCTAGTAATCAGCTCTAAATGAAAGAAAGATGATAAGGGTGCTCTTTTCAGTTTTCAGTACTGATTTTTATTAGCTCTCAATCAGTCCGGGACTGCTCTGTCTTTCATCACATTGTGGTAGTGTTTGTAGAATCATTAGAGTAATAAAGTGTAAATCTTACTGAGGTGCATTTTTCTCGAGGTGTTTTATATAAGGAAAACTCTGAAGATTACACTGGCTGGTACAAGAAAGATTTGTTTCTGAGACGAAAGTAAGAATGTAATGTACGCTATACTCATTTATTCTTTACCCGAGTCAAAACCCAATGAATTATCCAGCCTAGGTGAACCAACCACCACAAAAACCTCTTGGACTTAGGCGGCCAAGTATTACCATAATATAGATTTGCATGCATTTAGCCACTTCCTAATTTGCCTTGTTATCCTTCTCCAACACTCTTCCAGTGCAAAGCCTTCACATTACAAACGCATTACCCACAAAACCGCAAGCTTTGCTATTCCCAATGTGATTTCTTTAGCAAACCAGTGTAATCCAATAAAACATCATGTCTCACCAACATTGAAGTATTTATGGCGGAATAAATTTCAGCTTAAAAAAGTGCCCTTGCCCCCTCCTTTCTTCTCGCATATCCCAGACTGACCGGTCTTTTCAGCTTCATTTGGGCCGGAGACCGCAAGTGGGGCAAAGTGGCAACTGGAGACAAGGCAGAGTGGTGACTCTGATGTGGCCCTGCATTTGTTCCGGATTCTTCTAGGCCCTTCCAGGGGATGGTAGCAGGGAATGGAACTTACACTGACTTTCTCCAAGTGTTGTAGGATTTTTCACAGACTTTGCAGGTGTGCTACACATTTGCAATTAACAGAATACTTAATCCTGATGTGCCTTTTCTTTCCCATAGGCTTTATTATAGCTGGAATATGTTACAATGCATCATACTCTACGATGCCTATAAAAATGCCTGCTTGTTTTAAATGTTGGATTTTATGCATTTTATGTTTATATTAGGCCGAAAGTGTCCCTATATTTTAGTGATAGACATTTACGCTCATCCACAGGGTAAGAAACAATATAATGTACCAGTATGTCGTCTCTGAAAGAGTTTATAGAAGTGGGGTAGTTTCGTACTTAATTTTAAGTTACTAATTTTTAAGGAAAGGGTTTGCTTGAGATGGTTACTACAGTTTTCAGGGCCCACATGGTGAGAATATGCATCTTTGCAACCAGCAGAGAGTTCGTAAGATTCAGGTATCCAGAGTAAGGTGGTGGCATTGAGAAGATTTTTTTTCTCTACGCATCTTTTTGGCTTAGATCATTATCTGTAAAGATGTGTGTAGGATTTGACCTGCAGATAGAATTTTTAAAGAACAAGGAGGAGAAATCCCTTGGTGAAAGTGGTTCTAGATGGTAAAAGAAATCTTGTTTTCTGAGCTTTCTCTCTCTCTCTCTCTCTCTCTTTTTTTTTTTTACCCTCAGTCTTGAGAGAAACCTCATACTTTATTTACTATTTATGTTTAAAAATATTAAAGCCTGAATTCAAGCACTGGTTGTCTCTCTCTCTCTCTCTCTTTTTTCTTTTTTAAAAGAAAGCAAATAAAATATTTTGCTGATGGTGGCGTTTTTCGTATGTGTTCGCATGTTGGTACTTAAATGCAATATGTCTGGGAGATGTTGCTATTTTACACTACACGCACAAGAAAGAGTAAATTGTAGGTCCTGATTATCAACAGATAACAAGACATACTGTATATAAATAAATGCTCGGCATCAAAACCCATTATTGGATTAGCTATATAATCATGTCTCAGGCTGTAAGTCTGTGCTGACAAATGAACACTTTTCATTTGGCTCAAGGTCCTCATCAGCAACGGAACTAATTTTACATTCTCACCCATTAAGTGAATAAGATGTGGAAAAAGCTGTCTGCTTTTTGAAGTGTAAATTTGCTGCTACAGGCTGTGCAGACCAAAGCGCTTTTGAAGCAGGCAAATGAGATCATCTCTAGGGACATGTGAACCGCATGAAGTTTAGGTCATTTCTGTGGAAGGGACGGGGTGCGTGTTTGCATGCTCCCCAATGTTCAGACGATTTGGGTGGACGTGTACATTGGGCCAGGTGGGTGTTCTTTGGTATAGAGGATGAACACTTTGTTTAAGCCTGAGAAAACTGGGAGCACAGTCTTCGACTTCTCCAGAAACCAAGGATCCACAGGATGTGTGTAGAGACGGAGGTAGAACAATCAGGTGTTGGCATGTGAGATAGGATTCTTGCCCTCTGTGGCCCTCAAAAAGGGGCAACAATGCCTCTGAGTCTCTAATTTAGAACCCCCTGGTAGGCCTGGGCAGCTCCACAGAGACACCAAGATAAAAGACATGGGTACTGCTGGGGTTGCTGGGGGCAAGATGTGCTGGGAGAGGGGAACTCCTTCCTTCAACCATCTTGAGTGATCTTAAATACTCTATGTGCTGACGACTCCACATTTTACGTCGAGCCTGGATTTCTCCTCTGAGCCTTATATATAGCTGCCTGTGTGGTTTGTCTACTTGGATGGCTCATACATACCTCAGCTTAATGCATCTAAAATGAAACCATGGGGCTCGACCCTAAAACACATCTCTCCCTCAATTCTTCCTCCTCTTACAAATTGTATCCCCAGCTTCCTTCTTACTGAAGTGGGAAACTTAAGAGTCATCCTTTAAAAAAAAGAAAGAAAGAAAGAAAAAAGAGTCACTCTCAATTAATCCCTTTCCCTCACCAATGAAATACGATCTATCAGCTGTCATGCTAGTTTTATCAACAAAATATATCTTAAATCTCCTTGCACATCTGGACCCGGCAAACATCACCTCTCACCTTGTGACAGGGACAGCAGCTTCCCAGCTTGCTCCGCTACTTCTACCCTAACTCCATCTTCCGCCCATTCATAACAACTAGAGCAGAAAACTTAAAAAGTTCCTGTTATGGTTTGAGTTCCGTCCCATTCATATGCTGAAGTTTTAACCCAGGACTTCAGAATGTGGCCTTATTTGGAAATGGAGTCATTGCAGACATAATTAGTTAAGATGAGGTCATTCCTGTTGGAGGAGAGTGGACGCCTAGCCTATACAACAGGAGTCCTTGTAGAAAGGATGCTTCATGGAGAGGGCGAGATGCAGCCGGAGTGAAGACAATGTGAAGACATAGGGAGAGGGCAGGGCCATCTCTATCCCTATAACGAACGCTAAAGATTTCCAGCAAACCGTCAGAAGCTCACAGAGAGGCCTTGAACAGATTTGGCCAAACAGCTCTCAGCAGGAACCAGCCCACTGATATCTGACATCAGACTTCCAGCCTCTGGAGCTGTGAGACAACACATTTCTGTTGTCTGAGCCACGCAGTCTATGGGACTTCGAGATGGGAGCCGTAGCCTGCTAATGTGGTGTGCAGTCCTGTCCCTTTATGCCTTAAATCCCCACTTGGCTTCTTGTTTTATCCAGATTCAAACTCCAAGTCCACATCCAGACCTATAAACTCTTCATGATCTGGCCCCGCCCCTACGCTAGTCTCCTCTCCCCACAATTCTTCCCTCTTCATTTTCAGCCACACCAGTTCCTTTTCTGTTCCTCAGCTAAGCCAGGCTGTTGTCCTTTCTATGGCCTTTGCACAACCTGTGCCCTGTGCTGGGAGTGCTTGCCTTCTCCTCCTCCCTCTTTTGTGTGACTGTACCTTATCCTCCAGGTCTT